TAAAATAATAGCTGTTTATGTTTGCATTTTTCTTCCCTAACTGTGCCTTGCCCCAAGACTGCTATGTGTGTCCCAACACTACCTGATATAAATTAGTTATTAGCTAAAGCTTTCATTATGTCCCCCAGAATATTGTTTATGAGGAGAAAAACCTTGGGTTTTACAATTTAGGTATCGTTTCCTTGGGAATGAAGGGTGGCTTATTCTTTGGACAGCTGAAACAACAAGGCTGAAGCCTGCTGTTCAGTAGGTGACAAAAATAAAATGCCTCTTTTGGCTACCTTGTACATAGTACCAACTTGAAAAGTGGGAGAGCCCTTGAAAGTTGCTGAGTTTAATTTCCAACTTATTTTTGACATGACGCAACAACTGTACAGTGACCATAATGGTCCTTGATAATAAATTTAGTTCTAAACTGCTGTGGTAGCTATATAAGGTTGCTCTTTGCAGGATATAGCCTTCGGTAGTTTACCTCTTTGTTCATGCAACACCTAGTATTGGAGCCCCCGGTGGCGCAGGACTGAAGACTGACAGGTCGCAGGTTCGAATCCGGGGAGAGGTGGATGAGCTCCCTCTATCAGCTCCAGCTCTTCATGCAGGGACATGAGAGAAGGCTCCCACAAGGATGATAAAAACATCAAATCATCCGGGCATCCCCTGGGCAACGTCCTTGCAGACGGCCAATTCTCTCACACCAGAAGCCACTTGCAGTTTCTCAAGTCGCTCCTGACACGACAACCCCCCCCCCCAAAAAAACCCTAGTATATTAGGCAATTAGGAAACAAACACACCAGAGAGTAAAAAGCTATAAAGACAGTGGTAAAAAGGAGATTTTATCTTTAGAGAGAATGCGTGTCCTGCAATATTAAACAGTATACAAATGTAAATGATTATTAATTTGAACCCTCCAGTAGATGAACCACAAATCCTGTTGTTTCACCTGTTTCCTTCCTTTGGGTTTTTCCAGTTTAATATGGAAAAAACTGGGGTTACTTCCAGCTCTGTCACAAATATTTACTGTGGAAGATGTGTTTTTTTCCCTTCCAATTTATTTTGATTGAACACTGTGTTTTAAATTAAAGAGATAATAAATTGGCAAGTTATAAATTAACAGTGAATAGTTTCTTCAATAATGTTGAAATAGAAATCTGTATCACATCCAGGGCAGGCCGTAAGATATCATTAAGCCTTAATATGAGAAAGACCAATGGATTTCCTATAACGGTTTCCATATTGTATTTGAAACTCTAGCTGAGATTAATTTCTAGTCATTTTAATATATTCATGCTTTGTTCAGCATCTAGAAAGTCATTTAGGTGTTTTGGTTCTTCTGGAGTTGTCAGTGTTTCTTCCAGGATGAGTTTTCATTACTTTTCCCCAGGAGTGTTGAATGCTCATTTTCAAGCTGTTTTAGAGGACCCCATATTGTCAGTTAGCGTATTTACTGTAGAAAAAGACTTGAGTAGGCACTGTTTTCAGATAAATCACATTATTTTTTGGTAGAAAAAGAACATCGTATGACAATTGTATTGGGCTTACATATATGACACAACCAGGTTCTTTGAAATTGTATATTTGCATAATGGAAGATTTTAATTGGATATTTTAAAAATGGCTTTAAAAAACTATAAGGAGTGTATTTGTCAGCCATCAAGAATTATTTGCGTGTTATTTGTTATAAAAGCTATACATACTATAGCTCTGTAAATATACATAATGTTACTTTTGTAAATTTTTTTTTTAATCTTCCAGTCCTATTTACTATAATTATAAAACATTCATATAAAATGTTCAGGAATTTTTCCATGAATAGATATTTTATTTTTGATGTAATAAAACTGTGTACAATTGGTTATATAAAGAGACATTATATGCACTGTTTTCTGAAGGTACAGTATTTGTATAGTTGAGATAAATAAAGAATATTTCTGACACTAAAATAAATGAAAGAGGGTAATGCTCATCTGTTGCTATGTGAAGAAAAGTAATTTGCAGACTTATTGAAGGAGAAATGGCATCTGTTACATATACATACTTTTTGACTTGTAAGTAAGGCCCAAAATTGGGAGCTTCGGGGACAGGTGGGACCATGATTGAATCTACTGGATCCCAAGCTGTTCTGTTCCAGTCTGGAGCACTCATGTGAACATGGAGCTAGTATAGTGTGATCCCTTCCTGTGCTAACCATTGAAATGGGGGAAGATCCCATATTGCTTTACCAAGAGACTGGGATGAGTGGGAAAGGAGAAGAATGCCTTTCACCTTGTGCCATAACTTGCATGGATATACTTAGATAGAGTAACAGATTTACCCCATTGCTCCGTATGTTTATGCTTAGTAATGGTCTTAAAAATAGTTATATGTTTAACTAAGAACTGTTGCAAGCATTCTTCCGTAACTTTGATACCCTTAGGCAGAGTTTCCAAACTTTTAAAGCTGAGGGCCAGTTCACGGTCCCTCAGCCTGTTTGGGGGGGGGGGGGGGGGACTATTGTTTGAAAAAAACAAACCCATGAATGTATTTATTATGCTGGCTGTCTTATTTGTAGTGCAGAAAACCATAAAAGAACAGTATAATATACAGTAGAGTCTCACTTATCCAACATAAACGGGCTGGCAGAACATTGCATAAGCGACAATGCTGGATAATAAGGAGAGATTAAGGAAAAGCCTATTAAATGTCAAATTATGTTTTGATTTTACAAATTAAGCACCAAAATATCACGTTTTGCAACAAATCATCAGAAAAACATTTCACTACATGGTAACGTTATGTAGTAATTTTGTATTTATGAATTTAGCACCAAAACATTTCAATGTATTGAAACAGTTGTGGACCGGGAGGGAGGCAGACTGTGTTGGATAATACAGAACATTGGATGAGTGAAGGTTGGATAAACAAGAGTCTACTGGATAACTGAACATTTTAACTAATATAAACATATCAGCCTTTCAATGGGAAATATGGGCCTGCTTTTGACTGATGAGAGAGTCAAATAAATTAGGATTGTTGTTGTGCCTTCTAGTCATTTCAGACATTGTCTCGGAGTCTGGTGGAGTCTCCTTCTCTGGAGGTTTTTCAGCAGAGGTGGCATGGGCCATCTGCTGGGAGGGCTTTGATTGTGGCTTGGGGGGGGGGCTTATAGTTGCCGATTGGCGAGCCTTTTTTCTTCCCAAGAAAGGCAGCCTTTTTGGAAAACGCAGGGTGGTGATGCAGGACGAGGGGAGAGCGGAAAAGGAAGGGAGGGAGGCAAGCCAGGCAGGCTCTCTGCCTCCAGGGTCTACCCTTCATAGCCATGCATCATCACTGGTGGCAGCAGCGGCAGCAGTGAGCATATGGGACAAACAGGGCAATTGGGGATCCTTCCTTGGCAAAGAAATGAAAAGTTGTATGGAGGGAGAGAGAGAGACATGGGGCCACTGGAACAGGATGCCCGAGGAGAAGGCGATGCTTAATTGGGGCCACCACCTTAACGAAGGGAGGGAGGCCTGGAGAGAGGGCTGGTGGAAATTTGAACTGGGGCCACAATTGGCCCCCAAGCCAGACTTTGAACATGCCTGCCCTTAGATATTCCGACAGTTCCAGAATTTGGAGCATAATTATGATGGTGAAAGCTGGTGGGAATTGCTAGTCCAAAGGATCTGGAGGGCAATACCTATATGCAATCATAACCTGGAAACAAGCTTTGTTGAACATAGTGGTGATCTCTGACTAAGGCTTCTTATCTAGATGAAGGGGAGCAGAAGCAAAATTAATGTATGAGAGGAGGTGAGAAGTGAATGGAGGTCACCTATGATCCTGTTACTTGAATCTCGTCTGTTAGACTTGGTCGGGAAGTACATTTTAAGAATGATTTTCAGATCAGAATCTACTATATTTCTGAGAAGACTGAGAACCGAATACTGTATATTTTAAAAGGATGTTATACGAGTATTTCTAGCAGTAGTAGAAATTTTAAAAGGTGCAAAGTTTAACGGGCAAATTAATTAATTAGTTTGGGACCTAACTTTAATAGGCAAGTATTAGCATTAGGGGTACCCACATTATGTTTTGGTTCCAGCTGTGTTACTGTAAAAGAAATTACTCTATTGTAATGAGGAAAACGGAGAAGAAAAGAAAAATGGTTAAAGATAGCTATTCCTGCTAACTGTGAATGAAAGCTTTGTTTTATTGAATGATATAAATTCCCTACATCCTGTCTTATTTTTGGAACTAAGCTAAGCCCCCAGTGGCATAGTGGGTTAAACCCCTGTACTGGCAGGACTGAAGACAGACAGGTCGGATGAGCGCGGATGAGCTCCCTCTATCAGCTCCAGCTCCTCATGTAGGTACATGAGAGAAGTCTCCACAAGGATGGTAAAACATCAAAACATCCGGGTGTCCCCTGGGAAAAATCCTTGCAGACGGCCAATTCTCTCACACCAGAAGTGACTTGCCATTTCTCAAGTCGCTCCTGACACGACCAAATAATAATAATAATAAAAAAACTTAGCTTCGTTCCAAAAATCATTGAATTGAAAGAGACCATAAGAGCTATTCAGTCCAATCTGTTGCCGCGTAGAAAGCGATTAGCACTAGACCACCAATGAACAGAATGTTGTTTTTGCTTGGTTCAGACGAGGAAACTATAAGACCACCTCTGAGTATTTCCTGCCTAAGAAAACCCTATGAAGTTCATAGGGTGCCATGAGTTTATTGGTGACTTCAAGGTACATACACATACGAGTAGTACCCAGTTCTGCAGATATTTTGAAAAAGAGTAAATGTCTCTTGTTTCAGAGGTTTTGTATAAATAGCTGTATTTTAAAATATATGTATAGTTTAGAGAGAAAAACTGGGACAAAAAGGCTTTGACATGTAACAAAGGCATAAGCATAATTATAAGAGAAATGGGATAGATGGGGACCAGGTGGCTACATGCGGAAATGTAGCTGTACTTTAGAAGACCATTTTTATGTTTCAGCTAACCTTCATTTGAAACCCCTCCTGATTCATACTAGGATTTCTGTCGCTGAGTCATGGCAGACAGAAGACCAGAGAAGTCATGTGAACAAGCATGTGAATCCCTCAGACAGCAGGATTACGAGGTGGCGGTGAAGCACTGCACGGAGGCCCTTTTTTCCCTGAGCCAGTACCCTCCTACTTATTTCCCAGAAGCATGTCAGGCTGAAATCGACCGCATCAAAATAGAGAGTCTTCTCTATAGAATCGCTTCTTCTTTACAACTCGTGAGTGTGATGCTTTCAGTGGAATCGAGTGAAAATATGTATTGTATGAGCAAAAAATGGGAACTTAATGAATTTCTTGACATCACACTGCTAAATAATTCTGAGAAAGCAGTTCTTTGTGCCTTGACCTGCTTGGCTGTGTAGTTGAAGTGAATGCTATTCTTACATCCTGTGCTATTCTCTATTGACAATGGGCATATACCATATGATACAGTCCTGATTTAAAATAATGGGTGTGTTGTGCCTTCATGGGAACAAAACTAATTTAGGAGAGTAAAGATGAGGTGGATCCATTTGCATTGTAGTTGTTATAATGATTACTTCAAAAAAAAAGGAGAGATGAAGGTTGGAAAACAGATTGGGCATTCTAGTTAGGTATCAGATGGAGATAGTAGAAGATAGTGTACATCTGATAGAAAAATAATTGCTTGTGCAGAACATAGAATCATAGCATAATAAGAGTTGGAAGAGACCACATGGGCCATAAACAGTCAAATTACCCCTGTCAGATGGTCATCCAGTCACTGTTTTTAAAAGCCTCCAAGAAAGAAGCTTCCACCTCTGATCAGCTCTTACAGTCAGGAAGTTCTTCCTAATGTTCAGGTGCAATGTTTGCTGCAAGTGTAGATTTGATCTGAACTCATAATAGAAGAAAACTTTTTAAGCATCTAGCACTTATCTAGTAAATTAATCAACATTTGAAAATGTTGAAAAACATGCACTTTGCAGGTTAATGTTGTAATAAAATAATAATTATAAATATTTCAGAAGATAATGCTCTGGTGCAGAACTGATTTTAAGAACTATCATAAAAGCACTACAGTATATGCTCATGTGTAAGTGTAGAAATTTTAGTCAAAAAACCAATTTCCCAAAACTGGGTTGAGTTAACCATTGGCCACTGTAAGTACTGCACTTTCACCTTTTTATATATATATATAAATATATATATATTTTTTTATATATATATATATGGGGAACCATCCTCTGAGTACCACCTTTACCCTCTTGGTGCTGTGTTGAGAAAATACACAAAAAAGTGGCCACTGCAATTTTTTTGCATAGGCATTTGAAAAGGTCAGTGTGGCACTGTGACAGATAAAGTAGAGGGAAGCCAGTTCTTTTTTAAGGTTCTTTCAGGATGGACTAACACCACTCTACTTATAGAAGGGAATAGTTCCTTTTGTTGGTAAGAATTAATACTGTACTTTATCTTTTATCAAAAAGGAACCATACCATTATCAGAATATACCTTTCTGTATGCCTGGGTAAGAAAATGGCCATTTCAGTGGCCAGGGGCAGTGCTGACTTTTTTCTCCATTCCAGGAATGACCCTTTACATATCCAAGGGCCATTTTAAATCCATAATTTTAGCCCCAAACCCCGCCCTCAACTTGTACACAAAGTCAACTTGTACACAAGTATATATGATAATTGGGAAATACGTTACTAAATATTTTCTTGGTGGGATATTCTTCAGATTAAATACTCAAAATAGCATTTATTAAACATATAAAGATAATTCAAATTCCTAATGTAGATTTTATACACCAGTTTTTATACCAGAATTTTATTTGAATCAGTTGTAAGAACTGCACTGATACCACCAAAGTTACTTTTTCGCAGTACAATTCCCAGTCTTCTGTGTAGATGTATAGGCTATGGGATTTTGGGAAATGTAGTTTCAATTAGTAACTTTTTAAGTTCTGAATTTAACCCATTAGGAATATTATATTGCTGCAGAGGGATGTAATTTGCACAGTGGTCAGGTATTTATCAAGCAATACATTTAAATTTTATAGAGTTACTCACACACATGTCTTTGTTTCTAGTACATTTTAACTGAATGAAAAGCATTTTCCTGCTTTTATTTTAGATCTGGATAGGTGGGGGCCTGCAACAGAATAAAAGTGTAGGGCACACTAATCAGTCATCTGTGTTCTTCACCAAAACATTCAGTTCAACCCCCATCAACATAATTAGATTTCATTTAACATTTTGATATGTTCTTGTATTACTCCCTTCACCACCAAGATCCTTTCTATTTGCAAATCTTGGAGTTCCCTCAGGCAAACAAATTCTCCTTCTTTGTGAAAGGCACATTTTTGGCTACATGAGGATGAAATTACTGAATGTAATGGGATTAAACCTCTAGTTTAATTTACCATCTGTAATTTTGTGCATGTCCAAGTGTGCATTTCACATGCCATTGAAATCTGCGTGGTTTCCATACTGTACTTAGAATTACAGTAAGTTTATTGCAGAATGCATAATATTTTCTATCAATTTGTTGTAGTTTCTGTTTAAGCACTTAAGAAGCAAAGATGTACTTTTAGTGGCTGTTGTAGCTAACCATCACTTTTTTTCTTTCTGCAGAAAAACTATGGGAAAGCAGATGAAGACTGTAGGCATGGTATGCAGATTTAATTTAATTGTTTAATAAATTTGTGGCAGTGTGACAGATCTTTGAAATTATGAAAACACTCAGGCAGTATATCACATAATTGTTCAAGGCTGTTAGGAATTGTGGGAGTTGGAAGTCCAAAACACCTGGAGGGTTGAAGTTTGTCCATGTCTGGTCTAGACTGATTAGTGGTGTCAATAACAGCTCAGTTGCATCAGTGGCAGCTTCCTGGAAGCAGTTGGAACATGGTTAAGATCAGAGCTCCAATAGTTACCGGACCTTAAACTATTTAGGCAATCTCGTCCTTGTTAACCTCCCCAACTGCCCTTTCCACCCATTTTCTTACCTGTTGGTTGCTAGATTAGGCATTTCATTTGCCACTTTTATTTCACGTTGTGTGGTTTTTGTCAGCCTCATAGTAATGCTTCTCATTGTTCTTTTCAATTCTCAAATCTGGGTCAACTTACCCAAGTTGAGTCATGGTTAGTTAACTCTTACAGCAAAAAAGGGCCAATCTCCTTCTTTGAGTGGCAAAAGACAATCCCTTGGTGTTTCTTTAAAAAAAGCCCCACACCCCTCTACCCTCATTTCCTGGCACGACTTTTGGCCTTTTTGAATGTCTGGGTGGAAAAATGGTGGCACTGGCCAGGAGTTACCGATACTTTCAGTTCTCCACAGAATGAACCTTGGCTTATCCATGGATCATATCAAAATCTGTAACTCGGGTCCCAAAATTTTCCCTCAATTCATACACGAGGTTGACATACATGGTTATAAATGATATTAATTTCTGTGGCAATTAATTAATCTCTTGATTTGTCGAAGGCTTTCACAGCTGGAATCACTGGGGTGTTGTGTGGTTTCTGGGCTGTATGCTAGAACCAGACAACACCACCATCTCTTGATTTCTGACATTCATCAGTTCATCAATTTTCAAATCAGATATTCACTTCTCTGATTAGGATAATATTTCAGATTGAATGAGGTATAGAAAATGAAACGTGATAAACAAATGAGAGAAAAGAAATTGGAATAAACTAGAGTTTGGAAGAAGACATTTTATTGTACCGTATATTCTGGCATATAAGACTATTTTTTAACCCAAGAAAATCATCTCAAAAGTCAGGAGTCGTTTTATACGCGGGAATAGTCCTATGCACGGGAGTCGTCTTATAGAGCGGGTGCTGAAACTTCCAATCCGGATTGGAGAATCTGTGGTTGCTGCATATTGTGGGGGAGCTAAAAATTGGCAGTGGCCGCATCCCTGCTGTATGCAGCGACAGTATGAAAGCATTAAGGGCGATGCTGTAGAAGTATGGTAGAAGAAAATCAATTTATCAGGATCTGTGGACTTAATGTGGTCCCGATAGTGAGATGAAGGGGCGCCTCACTGGGAAGGTGTAAGTGAAGGACGGAGCAAGCTGCAGGCATCCGGGGCGCCCGGAGTATGGAAAAAAGAGAGTGGCTCTGGGCCCAGATACACCTCTTTTACCTGTCCGGCCCTCCCTTGTATCCTATTACCGTATCTCCTCCTCTGCCTCTCAGATCTCGCTCCTGAAAACTSCAGTGAAGTGGTGCAGGTGCACAYGTGCGAGATCTGAGAGGCAAAGAAGGAGGTACAGTAATAGGAAAATTACCATATTGAAATCAAATCTGATGCTTTTAAAATTTTTATTTGGTGTGCATTGGAAGAGGGGTAGTCTTATACGGCGAGTATATCCCAAACTCTATATTTTAATTGGAAAAGTTGGGGGTCATCTTATATGCCCAGTCATCTTATATGCTGGAATATACGGTACTTCTTTTTTCAGGAGGGAAGGAGACATGTCATTGTCATGTTCATGTTTACTCAGAAATATGCTTCATTGAGTTCAGTGGGTCTTATATTTGGAAAAATGTCTATATACACTTCATGGTATATCTGTGCATTAAGGCAAACTTGGGTGGTTTGAATTAAATATTTCTTGTATTGCTTCTTTTGTTTGCAGTATTGGGAGAAGGTCTGGACAGGGAAGGAGACACTTTCCGTGCAGTGCTTTGCTGCATGCATCTTAAAGGAAAACTGCAGGTTGTATCGAATGCTCTTTCTAAATCACTGATGGGTGAATCACTGGTAAGTCACAATTGATTCTGCCTCCTTAAGTATTCATATACTTTAACAATATGGCTCTATCAGCAGGTGTCAGGTCTATGTTGTATCTTGAGCTTTCAGAGATACTGGCAAATTAAAATAGCCAGATATTAATAGGGAAAGAGAAACATGACTTCCAGCTTCGTCTATGACTGAGGCAGCAGACTGGCAGATGTTTTACATAAGAAATGCTTGAATTTCAAACATTGGTTATTTCCACTAAGTTGCAAAGAATAGCTAATACCTGAGACATGTTTATTTCTGTTTTTAATACTATATTTATCATATCTTAGATGGAATGTTTATAGCAGGGGTCCTCAAACTTTTTGAACAGAGGGCCAGGTCACAATCTCTCAAACTGTTGGAGGGCTGGATTTTAATTTGACAAAAAAAATGAATAAATTTCTATGCACACTGCACATATCTTATTTGTAGTTCAAAAACACTTTAAAACAATACAATAATTAAAATGAAGAACAATTTTAACAAATATAAATCTATTAGTATTTCAATGGGAAGTGTGGGCCTGGTTTTGGCTGATGAGATAGAATTGTTGTTGTTGTGTGCTTTAGAAGTCATTTCAGACTTAGGTTGACTCTGAGCGAGGGCCGGGTAAATGACCTTGCAGGGCCGTATCCGGTCCCTGGGCCTTAGTTTGAGGACCCCTGGTTTATAGCATATGAATATATTACCTGAGTCAACTGATTAGGAAGGACCTCCTTATCCACCTGCCTGTATACCAGGTATACCTTTCTTCAGCAACTGCTGCTGATTAATGATGTAAAGGTTATAGCCTATTCCTTTTTGGTATTGTTTAGAAAGGTCAAACTATTTTTCTTTCTGAAGTCTTTTATCCCTATTTCTGGGACTTCTACTACTTTAAATCTGATTTTGACATACTAATCTAATATAGTGACTATAGATTATAGAGTGGCTGTAACCTTGAATTGGTTTTGATTTGAGGTGTACTGAAGAAAAGCTTAGTATCTTTAGATACAGGACCTTCCAGAAATTCTCTTTATATTCATTATAAAGCATCACATGTGTTGGTACAGGATTAATACTCTGAAAGGTGATGCTAAGTATGTTATCATCAAAGAACTTCATCACAGAAAAACATAAAAGATGATTTTTTTTTTCTGACAAGTAGCTGAACATGAAAGGTTAATTCTCTTTTAATGTTCAAGGCTGTGTTTTCAGGCTTCTGTTCCAGGAGTGTTGTGAATCTACTTTAGCTTTTATTCTAGACTTTGAAGGTGCTGGACTAATTTGGGGATAGGGTTCAATATTTTGAATGGTTCCTTAAAGTGCAGAATAAAATCCAAAGTGGACTCATCACACTTGGATATGGAAATTGCCCACAGCCACCATTTTAATTTGCAAAGGATTCTTCAAAAGGTAAAAACACAGCTTTAGTCCCACACATGATCATCGTACATTTACTTTTGTACAGGGTAGTTCTAATAAATTTTTCAGGTTTCCTCATGCTGCCCTGGGTTGTGCCAGGTATAGATGGCAGGCGTCTTATTTTGGAAGGAATTATGGAAATTGTCTTGTGCAAGTGGAGCCACTCTCCCTTAGCTCTGGAAGCAACCAACAATCCTAAAATATTAACTCTACTATTTGAAAAACACTTTAGGGTGTGAACTAAATCATGTAACACTTTATTACATTCTTTACATTTGAAATATTTAAGATGTTCATGCAAGCTGTATATTAGATTTGCATTTTCGTCATATTCTTGGGGTTTAAAATTTGTCTTCTGTGGCTAGAACATATCAGTTTATGTATTATTCTAAGAACTAGAAATGTCTTGTCCTTTGACTGATGTTTATGAGAAGACATTAATTGCATGCAGATTCAGAATATGTTTCTTGTCAAATAAAGACACTTTGCTTTTAATGCTAAAGCTTGATAATATATTTTTACATACAGTAACATGGAAGTAAAGTTAAATACAGGGTGGGACAGCATAACTTCCTTTTTTCAAAACTTAATAAAACCCATTGTATGAATCAGAATTTTTTTTATATAATGTAGGCGCATACCTAAAGTTTTGTTTTACGTAGTTTTGAAGATTGAATTAGGTAAGTGACGCCCCCCCCATTCTCCTTTCTCCATACACTGAGTAAACCGATTTCTGGCGTTTGTCTTGACTCTTGCCAGCATAGCAGGCATTATGTTGGCAATTTCTTCCTGGATGTTGGTTTTCAAATCTTGTAGGGTCCTTGGACGGTTCACATAAACACGGGATTTCAAAAAACCCCATAGAAAAAAATCACAATGGGCCAAATCTGGAGAGCGGGCCGGCCACTCCAAATCCGCTCGAAAAGTAGGCCTCAACGGCAAAAGCACGCTCCTCACTGTTCCAATGCACGATGGCGATTGAACTGTGTCAGGACAAAACTTTATACTCCCACTTCTCAAATGAGACCACTAGCGCTCTGCTACGTCTTCAACTGACTGAATGGCACGAATTTTAAAAAAGAAAGTTATGCTGCCTCACCCTGTATATCGTTCCATTGTCATTGTACGTAAGCTCAAAGGATTTACTTATATCAGTTCAAAGGATTTATTTATATCATACGTAATATTTCAACTGTGCTAAACAAATGTTATCAGGGAGTAAGTCTAAATGCAACATGAATTGTTATATTTTATGTGGGTAACAATATAACTTGTAGAAATCCCCCCTCAAAAAGTTGGATGAATAATGTGTCCCTACCAGAAATGTTTCCTCTGGTATTAAGTGATATGTCCCTACTGCAAATGTCTACTCTGATGGTATGATAATTCATTTGGTCCATGGTTCACATTGGCTGCATCAAATAGTTTTCTTTGGTTGCATCAAATACAGCAATTAAAAGGATCACCCAGGGTGGAGCTGTATTTGAGCTCCAGGCAAACTCCTTTCTTTCAAGGTTTACCACGTAATGTTTGTCTGAGAGGGCCCAAGTTTGAAGTTTTCACATGTCCTTGAACATTTTTGTTATCAGTTTTTCTAAGGTATCTCAGTGTAAACAGTTTCATGCCTGGGAGAAGCATTTTATTAGGAATAAAAGAACAATCTGTAGCAAACTATAATGGATGGAATACGCCTTAAATGCATTGCACAGACATTTCTCATATATCTATCCTATTTTAATTTTTCTTGTTGTGATACCAAATACATAAGATAAGTATGCAGCTAAATTCTGAGTTTAAAAGTATACTACTGAGAAGAATATATTACCTCTCCAGGAAGCTATTTTATTAACTTTGTTAGGGAAAAGTAGGAAAAAGAGCTTGCTTATAACCAGAAGTTAACAGGTATGATTATATTTTTTCTTTGCAGAACGGGATGGTAACGAAAGATCTGACAAGGCTCAAAACACTTCTTGTTGAAACAGAGGTAAGAATAAGCACAGTACTGAAAAAAAATTCCTTGTCATAACCTCTTTTTGTTTTGTGGGCATAATAAAGGAGTAATTTTTTAATGCAAGGATTTTAAAAAATCATAGCAAAAGAACACAGATAGTGTGTAAAAAAAAAAAAAAGAATTACTGTAGCTACAGACCAGACAACTCATTCACTGCTGTTACAGATAGATTTTTTGAAAATACTATTTTTCGTCTCACATGTAATTAGGATATTTCTTATTTATTCCTTTTAATATCAAAAATAATCATGTGAATACAGCAGTATGAATGGAACACAATCCAGTTCTTCTGTTATTTAATGAGACCCACCCCTATTGCTATCAAAGTGACAAAAATGTGTGGTAGCCCCATAAAAGAGCAAAATAATCTTTAAATTGTGGTAATAATATAACTTAGTTGTAATTTTTTATTTGAAAAAGATACTAAATGCAAGTAACTCACACTGGGAAACTTAATATGCTGTCATAAAAATAATATAGATTATAACAAAAAAAAAGTATTTAATAGATACCTCAATAAACCAGCTTAAAATGTGCTGCCTTCTTTTTGATTGGAAACGTTTGCTTTTAAATGAACCAACATTTCTTTTCATTTTTGAACTCAGTTCCAATCACAGTTAGGGAGCAAGCCAGGATCATAAATCTCAGCTTTGTTCTGATCTGTTTGAAATAACTGTAATAGAAACCTACCAGAGTTCAACTGTGTTCAGATGTAATGGAGCAACTCTGGTTAGTTTAAAAGTAGAAGTATATCCTTCCTGTCTCTTCCTTATAGTAGTTCGTTCTTCCTCATGTTTTTTATGAGTGAGAAGGCCTGTTCGTATAATGTTGAACTGAACTTGAGCATTACATCAAAAAAGGCCAATAAGTTATATTGCCCAATTGTATCTATGATTGTTTAATCCTGTGTGCTGTAACTATTATAAAATTGGAGCCTTTATTTTGTCATGTTTTTACTTTTTACTGAAGTAGATTGAAAATCAAAGACGTCAGTGTGCAAAAATGAAGTGTTTCCATATACTGTAGGGTCAAACTTGCCTTTTTGCTATAACCGTGGCTACATTCCCTACATCATGAATGCTACTTTGGAGATTTTCCTAACCTAATTGTAAAGAATGGGTTTTTGTTGGATATAATAGAAAATGAGATCTAACATTCCCAGAATATTCATAACTCTTTTCTCCAATCTCCAATCAGGTTTAAAATTCATAATTATCAGTTTATGTCTAGCAAACAGTTGTTTAAATTAAGTTACCTCTATATCAACCTGTTTGTGTGCTAAGAGCATCCTTGGAGGACATCCTCCAGGCACTTTATCTCTCTCGCTCATCTCTCTCTCTAATATTTGGCTTTTCTCATGACATGGGAATCAAGATGCCTTACAACAAGGTTAAAACAAGATAGCACTAAAAATATCAATGGTTAATTGTATTGTTCTATTATGTTTTATAAACCCATTCTTCTAGGTTTTAAAAAAAACTGTCCCTGGGCTATCAAGCCTGTGTTGGAGTCAGGTCACACCTATCATGCAAAATCACCAAAACACTGAGGCCCAGGGACTCATTCCAGAAAAGGATTAGGTGGGGAGCAAGGGAAGAGTGGGATTCCAAAGTTTGAAACTCTAGAGCCAACCTGGCAATAGGGATCTGTCACTGTTGGCAACTATCCTTACATGTTTCTGTGTTGGGCAAACATGTATTTCTTTATAGTTTGTTAGTGGTCATAGACCATATTATTTACAATAATTTTCTAAAATTTGCTGACTTCTGAGAAAAAGAGTACTGGAGATGGAAAATATATGATACCTTCTGAAAATAACGTTAAAATTTGACATACTGTACGTTGCCTTTTAAAAGACCAAAAAAGCATTTCACCCAATATTATAAATGTTTAATTGTTTAAAATCTTGTATTGAATGATGTGCAAATGATGCACTTTATAATTGCAGGCAGCTGCTGCTAAAGTACCCTCAGTATACCATGCTGAAGAGTTCGAAGAAGGTAAATTAAAAATATTTCATAAAGAGATTAAAAATGGATTTTTAAATGTTTTGTATGAAGGAATTTAAATCATTTTCAAGAGATGGCTAAACTATTTTTAACTACCATATATACCGGAATACAAGGCAACTGGGGCTATAAGACGACCTCCAACGTTTAAACACAAAATAGAGAGTTAGGGATATACTCGGCGTTTAAGACGACTCTGCATTCCAGCCAGGTGGTTTTCTTTTTCTTCTCCTCTACGCCTGGTGTGTGGTTGCCCCTGGGGCCCTGGGTTGCTTCCTGCGCTGCCTTCAGAAGGGCCTCCCACGCTACTCAGGCCACTCTCCTTATTCCTGGCCCCACTCCACCGCTGTCATGCCTCTGCCTCCCAGCCCCACCAAGCCTCGTGAGAAGCTCCTCTGCTCCCGCGAGACAACTCTTGGAAAAAGAAACCATCATTGCTCAGGCCGCTCTCCTTCTTCCTGGTCAGGCCTCGCGAGAAGCGCCTCTTCTCCCGTGAGAGAACATTGGCATTTAATTTTGTGGCTCTAGATTATAATATGAAGTGGTTCTGGATTAGAATACTCTACTTTCTAAATGTAGACACTTTGCTCTAGATCTCACTTGACAGATGCTTCTGTTATTGAGGTGAGAGATCAGGATATCGAACTTATTTACTCGAATCTAGTGTGCCATGAAATCTAATGTTTACCTCAATTTTCAAAACCCTGAAAACCAAAATAAGTATTTGCTGCTGAATTTAATTTTCAGTAAAAAGTGCACTCTTTGTCATTTGGCCATTACATTTTTTGGCTGCTTAGGAAAGAAATAGGAAGGAAAGAAAAAGGAAGAGGGAAAGATGGATGAAAAGCAGATACAAGGGAGGATGAATGAAAAAAGGATACAAGGGAAGGGTGGTGCGTTCTCCTGCTGCCTCTCCTGTATCCGTGTGCACCAGCCTGTTTGGCTTTGCCATAATACATGAATGTAATGCGCACCTCAATTTTGACGTAGTCATTTAGCCAAAAAAGGTGTGCCTTAGATTACACATAAATACGGTATTTGGCTTTATTCAACACTTGAAATCAAATAAGTATCTGTTATTAAGGATTGTAGAATAGTGATGATGGTGATGATGATGATGAATATGTTTATTGATAGCCTGCTTTTCTCCCCATACAGAGTCTCAAAGCGGCTCACAAGTAAAGCATGGCAAAACAACTTAAAATATATAAATATTAAAAATATATAAATATTAAAGCAATATTGAACATCATTAAGAGCATATAAAATCACAGCAGCCCCTTATGATCTTAAAAACCTTCTTTAAAAGCCTTCCTGAATAAAAATGGTTTTAACCTGTTGCCTGAGGGATAGCAGGGAGGGGACCATTCTGGCTTCCCTGGAAAGAAGGGACTTCCAGAGTTGAGGGGCATCCACCAAGAAGGCGCTCTCTCTTGTTCCCACCAATTGAGTTCAAGATGGAGGTGATACCGAGAGAAGAGCCTCTCCTGAAGACCTCAGGGCCTGGGAAGGTTCACACAAGGGGATGCGGTCAGCCAAATAGCCTGAACCTGAACTATTTAGGGCTCTAAAGGTCATAACCAGCACTTTGAATTGTGCCCAGTAACAGACTGGCAACCAATGGAGCTGCTTCAACAGGGAGTTGTCTGCTCCCTGTAGCCAGCTGTAGTGAGCAACCTGGCTGCAGCTCTTTGGACCAGCTGAAGTTTCCAAGAACTTTTCAGAGGCAGCCCCACATAGAGTGTGTTACAGTAGTCCAGATGGGATGTAACTAAGGCATGTACCATGGTGGCAAGATCTGGCTTCTCAAGGAACAGGTGCAGCTGGTGCACACGTTTTAAATGTGCAAAGAACCTCCTGTCCACCGCCGATACCTGTGTCTCCAGGTTCAATGCCGAGTCTAGGAGGACCCCCAAACTGTGGACCTGTGACTTCAGGGGAAGTGCGACTCCATCCAGCACAGAATTTAACATTATAATTCCCTTTCAGGATCTCAGGATGGCTGGCAGTTTCGCCCCCCACCCAGGGGAGTTACAAGTAGTGAAGAGTACACATTATGCAAAAGGTAAAGTAGTATCTTGTCTTTATTTCCCAGTGTTGATTGGTAAATTCATCTATCTATCTATCATCTATCTATCTATCATCTATCTATCTATCTATCTATCTATCTATCTATCTATCGCAGTGCTTCTCATCCTGTGGGTCCCCAGATGTTTTGGCCTTCAACTCCCAGAAATCCTAACAGATGGTAAACTAGCTGGGATTTCTGGGAGTTGTAGGTCAAAACACCTGGGGACCCACAGGTTGAGAACCACTGATCTAGAGTGTATGTATGTTTATGTTTGAGAAAGAGAGACAATATTGGAGAACAAGAATTCTTTGGAAGTGTAAAATAAAATTGTCACAAGCTGTTTTTCATCAGAACAATCTCTGGTACTTAAGAGGCAGTCTGTGTATCTGCAAGTTCTCTATTTTACCTTTGTACTATAGCGTGAGTGCCATATTCCATATTGTTACCAAGGGATTATGAAATATACTGTTCTAGTTGGAACCAGCCATTAGATTCAGACCATACACATATTTTCTAAAAAGTATAGTATCTAATGTGGCACACTTTAAATGAATAATATTTTTTTTAAAAGCATGTTCTCTGGTTTAATGGCTTACTATAGTTCTAGGAGAGATCTGAAGAAGGAAATAATATGTTGATTTCTGTGCTAGAAGACGGTTTCTGGATGGTGAAAATAGTAAGAACCTGGTATTTAGCCTCAGACATTTGAGAGGGAATCAGCATGATATAGTGGTTTGAATGTTGGGTTTCAGTAAAGCCTTTGACACGGTCCCTCATGATCTTCTGGCAAATCAACTAGTGATGTGGGCTAGGCAAAACTACAGTTAGGTGGATCTGTAATTGGTTAAGTGAATAAACCAAGAGCGTGCTGACCAATGCTTCCTCTTCATCCTGGAGAGAAGGGACAAGTGGAGTGCTGCAGGGTTCCGTCCTGGGCCCGATTCTGTTCAACATCTTTATTAATGACTTAGATGAAAGGTTGGAAGGCATGATCATCAAGTTGGCAGATAACATCAAATTGGGAGGGATAGCCAATACTCCAGAAGACAGGAGCAGAATTCAAAACCATCTTAACAGATTAGATAAATGGGTCCAAACTAACAAAATAAAGTTCAACAGAGACAAATGCAAGATACTCCATTTAGGCAGAAAAAATGAAATGCATAGATAAAGAATGGGGGATGCCTGGCTCGACAGCAGTACGTGTGAAAACAATCGTGGAGTCCTCAAGGACAACAAGTTAAACATGAGCTAACAATGTCATGCGGCAGCTTAAAAAGCCAATAGGATTTTGGCTGGCATAAATAGGAGCATAGTGTCTAGGTCCAGGGAAGTCATGCTACCCCTCCATTCTGCCTTGGTCAGACTACATCTGGAATAGTGTCCAATTCTGGGCACCACAATTGAAGGGAGATGTTGACAATCTGGAATGTGTCCAGAGGAGGGTGACTAAAATGGTCAAGGCTCTGGAGAACAAGCCCTATGAGAAGCATCTTAAAGAGCTGGGCATGTTTAGCTTGCAGAAGAGAAGGTTGAGAAAAAACATGATAGCCATGTATAAATATGTGAGGGGAAGTCACAGGGAGGAAGGAGCAGGCTTGTTTTCTGCTGCCCTGGAGACTAGGATGTGGAACAATGCTTTCAAACTACAGGAAAGGAGATTCCACTTGAACATGAGGAAGAATTTCCTAACTATGAAAGCTGTTCAGCAGTGGAACTTTCAGCCCCAGAGTGTGGTGGAGGCTCCTTCTTTGGAGGCTTTTAAACAGAGGCTGGATGGCCATCTGTCGAGAGTGCTTTGAATGTGATTTTCCTGCTTGGTGGTGGTGGGGGTTGGACTGGATGGCCCACGAGATCTCTTCCAACTCTATGATTCTGTGATTCTATGAAAGGGATTCACTCTTGGAAGTTATGCTGCTAACTTAGACCATCTGATGGTGACTGTTTCCCTTGACCCACTTCACCAACTCATGGTGAGCTTTCTCCTCCCCCTATGCCCTCTTCACATGGTCAAGGCTTCAAGGCTCTGAACTTATCTGAATCAGCTGGTTTTGCACAAAGGAGACACCACCACACAGAGTTGGTTACTTTCCAAATGCCTAGTCGAAGGTTGACTGTTAAGAAGTAGCTGCTATTTTGGAGCCATGCAACACTGTAATCCCACAGAATTGTTTTTGTGGATTTTTGCAAAAAGAGTCAGAGCGCCACTGGATATATACAAAAATTTCATAGTTCTGGACAGCTGATTTGTGATCTGGAAGATATCTCTGTTGTATTAATATAAACCTGAAGTAAACAGAAATGACCACATGGTGTCACTATCACTCTAGAAAAATTGAAAAAATCATGTTGATCTATATCTATGTAGAATTTATATAGAGAGAAATTGATATGTCCTTTTGTTAAATTTGTCTTGCTGTTAGACTATGTGTTTAAAATATGTCTATTTGAATTATTTATATAATAATATTAATAATAATAATAATAAACATGTCTTGGTACATTTGAAATACAAATAGTTTATTTCTTATTAGCTCCATGTTTCCCAGATGTTCTAAAATATTCAGAGCATATTTGGCTTAAATGATAATGTAGCAAAGAGCTACTTTAGATATGCAGTTTCTTATGTCATATCACAAATTACTTTGGAACGCTTATCAGGTTTCAAAACAATGCTGAATTCAGGATGCCAAATTCAGAGCCTTTTTGGGCATACAGCATTAGTTGCACTTAAGAAACAGTAATGTGGTTTCTACTTTTAGTTGAAAATTCTAAACAGAGGGCTTAAATTCTTCAAAAAACTGTTATCTGGGAAATATTTGCAGTTGGAAGCAATAAAAGGTAATTATCTTTCTTACGTTGTATAGATTTTTAGAGCAAGGAATCTGCAGGTACGGTGCACAGTGTACTTCAGCACATTCCCAGGAAGAGCTAACAGAATGGCAGAAACGATACGCATCCCGCTTGATAAGGTTAAAACAGCAGAAGGAAAACAAACAATGTTTAGGAAGTTACATGGAATCCTTGATTGAAAAATGGATGAATTCTTTATCTCCTGAGAAAGTGGTAAGACAACATGAAACTACTTCTTACAATAGTTTTATATGACACTAGCCTAATTTTGGCATTCCACACTACATTTGGTCAAAGTATTTCATCTCAAATTACCAGTTTAAATGTGTCTCTCTTATTCACCAATCAAACCTGATATCTGTGGAAGATTTTGATAGATTTCATCCTGATTTTGAGCACTTGCCAAAATAACTAAATAACTCAGGGTCTCCTAGGATAACTACTTCTTGGATCGGTTGTGAAACTTCGGAGTTAGTGTACTAGGAACAAAAAGTGGACAATGGTTCCTCCAGCACATCAGGAAAGTCAGCCCACCTACTGAGTATTTTAAAATCAGCCATTATATCAGCTCTTCAGTCCTGGGAAAGATTCTCCAAATGCACACATAAATATACACATCTACTACTGCCTGCAGTCTCTTTGCCGTGGAATAAGGTAGAGGTAAGACGGTGGAAGTAATGACTGCAAGAGCTCTGTTTACACACTGCTAATAGGAAAGGAAGTGGGAATAATACATAACTCAGTTACTGTTCTGAATGTCTCTGCTCCTCAGGAATTTGAAGCAATGGTCAGACTTGTTATTTTCTTCTCTTTTACCAGAATGTGAGTGGAGCTGCTATATCAGGCATTGTAAAAATGGCAGCCCTCCAGCTTTTTGGGCCTCCATCTCCCAGAATTCCTGAGGATTTAACAAGTTAGCTAGGACTTCTGGGAGTTGGTGGCCCAAACAGCTGGAAAGCTGCAGTTTGAGGTTATCTGCTAGATTATATGTCAGTATCACCACCATGTTCCTCATTCAACTTCCTCCTCTTTCATAGTAGGGACAATCATATGTGTATTTATTTAGGACACCAGGTACGCAGCCTGCATTAAATCGGATTAGTAGGTGGCCCGGTACCTTTCTTCTTTCCTGACTAATCTCGTTCTGCCCATGCCTTGGATATATAATAAACCAGGACTGTCTGGAAGGAGAAATGTTTAGAAGAATTACAGTGTAATTGTTTCTAGCAACATGTTACAATTACATAAAATGTTACCTATGACAAATGCTCTTTGGCATTGGTAGATCAATTCCAAAAAGCCACTGAAATACATACTGCATGCCAGTTATGGATTCAGTCTTCTTGAACTGTAGAACACAATATTCCTTATGTTGTGAGGGTTGCCATCTTGCGAGTGACTGAGGTTAGGGGCTGTTTGTTCTCTGGGAGAGGCATCTAGTAGTAATCCTTTGAAACTCTATGCCTCACCCTTTCAAGTGGTAAGAGTTTCATTCATGGGCAACTTGTGTTTGCAGAGATGCATAGATTTCAAATCAAATCAATCACTTTGAAACACTCTGTATAGGATTTTTATAAATGCCAAGTACAAAATAATGTGTACAGGTAATCCTCAAGTTACAAACATCAAACTTACAAATGACTCATAGTTAAGAATGGGGGTGAGGCAACAGGAAGTGAGAGAAATTACTCTTAGGAAGGGAAACTCACTCCTGAAAGAATTATAATCATGGGGGAAATGTGCCTCCATTGAAGCTTTATCCTCAATCCTTGTTTCCACAACAAGCCATTTTTTTTTCAAAATCAAATTGTCACAGGGACAGAAAGTGAGGTGAAATTTTCTGAACAGAGGAATAGACAGCTAAACAAACTCCGCAAGGTTGTTAACCCTTCCCTGTGCTGTCCAAACCGAATATATATGGCTGGGGTTACACTTAAAATGTACCTGTTCCAACTTACACACAAATTCAGCTTAAGAACAAACCTACAGAACCTACCCTATTCATAACTTCAGGGCTGCCCGTAACTTATTTTTCCTGTATTTGTTAAAGTTGACTTCAGCTCTTAGGTATACTTTGCAGTACAAGATATAAAGTGGTTGCTTACTACCCCAGTTTAAAATATCACTGAAACTTTGCTTTTTGCTTTGTTTTGCTTTTGTATGACTTCTCCCTGAATTATCTATGCATATAGACAGAGTAATAATGGATACAATTTGCTTGATTATTTTTCTTGTGTACATATTGTTGATTTAGATAAAATGCACATTCCATAGTATTTGTCCTGCTCAGACATAGTTCTTTTTTATTATGGATAGTGTTGAGTTATTCCTTCAACTCTATCATTCCTATATAGAATTCCTAACACTGATTTTCCCTCCTGTAGCTTAGTGAATGCCTAGATGGTGTGAGAGTTGAACATAACCCTGAACTGTCACTTACTGTCACTACCAAAAAATCACAACAAATGTGGACATTTGCTCTTACATGTAAGGTAAGATTACCTTTTAAAAGATTTTTTAAAATTGTTTTTTTTAAAGCAATTTATCATTTATTATATTGCTGGAATTGTGAAACTACAAGTGTTTGCATTTTACATTAGGAGCATTTTTGGTTTTTGGAATTCATATGATCATAAGGATGGAATATGCCAAGTTTAGGTGGTTAGTTCCAGTATACCATTCAAAAGATGCCAGGGATGCATCTTTTGAATGGTATACCACTGAGAAAACTCCTGCAAATGGAAGAGAAGAAAACAATTTTCACTGACTTCTGAAGCCACCAGTATCCTTCCTCCATTGTTCCAAGGTGTCTTCCACTTCCTTATAACATTCTCAGAGACAAACTGGAATGGAAGGCATATTCATATTAATAGAAATTGTGCCATCTTCTGCCAATGGAAATGGTTCATGGAATGTGAAAACTTCTGCAAATAAAATAATTCCTTTCTCTTTCAAGAGGGAAATGAAAATTCACGAGTATTTATATCCACATACTGTTACTGGTAGAAATTAAGAGAAGTGTGTGAATATGAAAGCAGTAATAGCATATTTATGCTTTATCATTTGTAGAAAATGGTATTGCTACCCTGTCTCGGGATTCAAATGTTTGGCAATGAATTGTAGAGAATAATAGATGAAGAATTAAGCTTTATAAAATGGTGGAATTTAGCATCCAATATGGTGAGCTTGTTATCAAATTTTATGCAGATCTTGAACCCACAAGTCTGTTTTGTGCAAACCTTTCATTTTTGCAGCAGATTTAAAGATCTTATACCTGGCCCATCAGTTATTGAGAGTGTTCACATTCCATGTTAGATGTGGTGGTCTAATAGTTTGGATTAAAGAAAACCCATACAATGCCACATGGTTATTTACAGTGTTTTTTCCCCCCTAGCCTGCACGAATGTTGTATCGGGTGGCATTGCTCTATGATGCCCATCGTCCTCATTTCAGTATCACAGCAATATCTGCTGGAGATAGCACCACCCAGGTATCTCAAGAAGTTCCAGCAAATTGCCAGGAATGGATAGGAGGAAATATGGCCCAAAATGGAATAGATCACTCTGTGTACAAAATCAACATAGCCTTTAGAACAGAAATTTTTGGGACATTTCGCCAAACTGTGGTATTCGATTTTGGGACTGAACCAGTTTTGATGCAACGAGTAATGATTGATGCTGCTTCAACAGAAGGTACTGTTTATGTATTTTTTTCAATGAATATGCTTGCTGCCTGTATTACATTTCTTGTTTTGTTATAAGTTGTCTCCAGTACGTTTTTTTATTATTATGCCGACACTCCTTGTTATTTATGAAGTTATATATGACTTTTAGTTACAAATGGGAGTGAGTTATATATGACTCTTAGTTACAAATGGGAGTGAGACAAACAGGAAGTGTGTGCTTTTCTAAGCCACCCCGAGTCCTTTTTGGGAGATGGTGGCAGGGTATAAATGAAGTGTTGTTGTTGTTGTTGTTGTTGTTGTTGTTATGTGAATGGAAAACTATCCTTAGGAAGGGAAATTCACTCCTGAAAAAGTTATCATGGGGAAAAATGTCTCCACTTTAGCTTTATTACCAATCCTTGCTTCCACGACTATTCAAAACATTCAAAATCCAATTGTCGCAGGGAAAGAACAGTGGCACAGACAGCAAAATAAATGTTACAAGGATGTTAACCCTTCCCTATGCCATCCAAAACTTAAAAATATTTTTTTTGGTTGGCAAAAACTTCACTTAAAAATGTACCTGTTCTGACTTACATAAAAATTCAAGTAAAGAACAAACCTATCTTGTTCATAACCTGAGGACTATCTTTGCATGATAGTAGTTTTCATGTTTCTAGCTCAGAAAACTCATAGGGACTTCTGATAAGACAAATTTTGTTTTTTAAAAACCAAATTGTAGTTTCATTGTAATTTACTGTAGTCATGTTTAAAACAGCAGTTCATAATACTTTTGCTATACATTGTGATAAGAAAAATAATTTCTTTAACCTCTGTCTGATGCGAGAAGGCTGCATAATGAGATTGTAATTTTTAAAATTACTTTGATTATTCTAAACCCTTGCTGAGCATATAAAGGAAAGAAGAGTAAGAAAGAAATAAGGATAAACCAGCAGATCAAGTGATACATAAATCTAATCCCCAAACCCTGTTACTGTTGTTTAGGCAGCAATTGAAAGTTTTCCTTCTGGTTGCTGTATAAGTGCAGTGTTTAAATTTTTGCTCCTTAGTTTACACAGCAATTGTAAAAAAAAACTGAGCAATTGCAGTTGGTACAAGACTGGTGATACGTGGTCTATATGTGTACAAGGATGCTGGCAGCGTCAAATCAGATCTTGGCCATTAGTCTGTAGGCAAGAATGTTAGTTGCACAAAAAAGCGTCCTTGTGCACCTGGAGACCCCAAATCACCAGTTCTGTACCAAGTACAGTGGCTTCAAGTGTATTTCCAAGCTTAGTTCAAGATTTTGATTTTGACATACAAAGGACATTAGGCTGACTCTGTTCCTCTTGAGCTGCTAGGTGGGGTGACTTTCTTGATTCTTGTCGATATGAATTTTTACAAAGTATTTTTACAATTTTTGTCTGTATTTGAATAATACTTGTTTTAGCTGGGCTTTATTTGTGGCATGCTGTGTTGGGAGTCCCAGTAGGCTGAGAGATAGTAGTGCGCCATTCTGTGTGCTGAGGGCCATGTGTGAGCTTTTCATGCCCATCTCAGTTGTTAAAAATGTTCTCATCCACATAAAAGCATTATAAAATAAAATCAGAGACTTCCAATTAAATCAGAATAATGAATTGCAGAAAATAATATCACATTGAACAATTGCAAATTACAATCCGCAAAACTAAATGCTTGTCAAAGCCGGGCTTAGCAGTTTTAACTATGTATTTTGAGGAATTAAGTTCTACAAGTCAACTGGCGTCCAGTAAAAGACATAGATATGTGAGACAAGCTGCACATTACATTCTGACCACGTGAACTGTTAGGCCAATTATTCTTCATGACTCTCTACATTCAGGAGGACAATTTTGGAAGAACAATACAAATAGAGGACTGGGAAGAAATTTGGAACAGAAAACTAAAATAAACATATGCATGTGATTTAAAAGAGAATTGGCTAAAGATGATGCACAGATGGTACATAACAAAGTGTTGGAAATGCGGGAAACATGAAGGGATATTTTATCACATGTGGTGGTTATGGAAAAAAGCAGAGAATATTGGAAAAGCATACACAAAAAGATGCAAAAAATATTGAACATAAAATCCCCAATATAGCTGGAAATATAGCTGCTTGGAATGACAGATCAGAAATTAGAAAAAAAATGTGGAAAAAAAATCTGAACTTCATGATAACAGCTGTGAGGTTAATCTACGGCAAAGTTTGGAGACAAAATGAAATTTCCACAACAGAACAAAGGATGGTCAAAATATCAGAGATAAAAGCATAGACAGATTGACATACCTAATGTCAAAGCATCAAGGGAAATTACAAAAAGAAACAGATTGGAGCCTAATACATGATTATATGACAAAAGAAAATAAGAAGTAAATGATACAGCAAGAAGAAACAAATAACGGAAAAAAAACCCCTCCCCCAGATATAGAGTGAAAAGGAGGGGAGAAATAGTGCAAAGAAGGAAGAAAAGAAGTTGAAAGATTAAACTGCATCAATTATGACCGAATGTCACACAACTATTTTTATTTTTTCTCTCTCCTTTTTTTGTAAGTTTTTGTTTTGTCTTAGTTCCGTTTTTTCTTTTCTTTTTTCTTTCCTATTTTCCTCTTTGCTTTCTATTTCTATTAATTAAACTATGTATGGAAAAATCATAATAAAGATTATAGGAGGACAATTTTGCAGTAGAAGAAAGTAATTTTTCTTACTTGCTCTGTTTCCTGTGGAAGTCCATACTCATGCCCATGTGAGACGAACAAGCAATCATGGTGGAAGAAAAACACCTTTAGGGATAAATTGATGGACAAAGGCAGGGTTCCATTCATAATTTCCACATTGCAAATTGCCAGCAGTGAATGTGCTTGAAAGTTGTAAAGTAGGTATTTGAGCTGCTATTGCAAATGATTGCATTGAGTTGCTTTGAGTCTCCTTTGTGGAGAGAAAAGCGGGGTATAAATAAACATAAATATAAGAATAAGAATAAGAATGATAGTTTGGCTTTCTGTTCTCGCTTATGGCAACAGACAAAATATACTGACCACAAGGCCTTTTCAGATGCTATTAGGAAGCTGGGAATGCCTTTAAAATCTCCATTTACTTAGGCAGACTTTACCAACTTGTGGCTCTACAAATGCATTGTGCTGAAATTCCACCATCTCCAATCCTCTATGATGCTGCGTCAAGCAAAAGAACTTGACTGCTGAAAAGACAGAAAGAATGAAGCTAAATTCTATACATCCTGAGAATATTTTTTTCTTTTACACATATCTCAAAAAGGTTGTAATAATCTAATCTTCATGATCTTTTGAAACACAATTCAGTTCTTTGAATAATATAACTAAATTGTTCTCCAAATATCACCAATATTAGATTTTAAACACAATTAAGTTATAAGATTCAAATGCATTGTTTCCCTATGTAATCGTTGTTCACGTTCATTTCAGGTTCCAGAATGGTTTTTGGGGTTTTTTTGGTTTTTTTTTGTCTTCTATACGTAATTGTAGCAGCAAAACTGGCTGGGGCTGAGGCTCTCCCTCCTCAGAAGAAAAAAGTTCTTTAATTAAAAAAAACAACACCAAAAAACCGAAGCTAGCTGGGGAGTTCTCCCTCCTCAGTCTCCGGTTTGTTGTTGTTGTTGCTGTTGCTGTTTAAAAAACCCTGTCTTATTATTTCTCAGACTTAAGACAGGTTTTCTTCCCTAAAAAATAACAAAAAAACAAAAAACAAAAAAACAAACAAAACTAAACTAAAAACAAAAAACAAACCAGAAACCAGCAAACTTAAGGCACCTTTTTTGTGTTATTGAAGGCTTTCATGACCAGAATCACTGTGTTGCTGTGAGTTTTTTGTACTGGTATGGCCATGTGATAGCATTATTTCCTGATGTTTCGTCTGTATCTGTGGCAGGCTTCCTCAGAGGACTCAATAATTTTTTTCTTTGTGTTCCCTCTCTTTCCCCTCCAAAAGTATTAAAAATGTGACTAGTATTCAGTGAAATATGGGATTTCTTTTGACTTTAATAGCATTTGAATTTTGAATTGACTACGAGTGTAGTTGTAAATAAAAAGTTTTAAAAACATCAACATTGTTTAAAAAGCCATATGTTTGCCTCCATAGGACAGGAAACTTTATTACTTTGGAAGATATATATTTACTGATCTTGCTTTTGAATTGATTGATGCTCTGTTTTCTTGTGTTTTAAATTTGTTACACTTGCATTTAGGTTATATTTTAATTGTACAGGATTTGCTTTATTTAATTTTATTGTATTCAACTTTGATTTGCATTCTTGGGGAAAAATTGGTGCAGCACAAATAAGTAAAAAAAGAACATTGAGATTTTAGTCATTAAGTGTTATGAAACCCCTTCCTCCACACACAAACATACTATCTGTTTGACACAAGTTACTGTTGAACTATATGTTTCCATGGATATCACATTATCACATTCCTTGTAGAATATGGCTATATGCAGACCTCATAAATAACAAGGCAAGACTTCAAATTCTTCCTTGTTATGAGACAGTTGTCAACAAATGTGTATGTTTTCAGGAGAAGGAAGACAATGTAAAAGAAAGGAATATTTCCATTTTATGAAAACAATATAATGCAAAACCTGCTACTTAGCAGAAATTTTCAGTACAATTGTAGAAATTGTAAGGTAATTGTATATTGTGTAGATAGATAGATAGATAGATTTGTATATTGTATATATATATATAGATAGAGCTGGAGAGAGATTTAAAAAAAAAGATGTAAAGAAGGCGGGATATATATCTATGGCGACTGGTAAAATGTAATTACCATGATATATTAATGGGATCTTTTCCTCACTGTGGTGGCCCAAGATAAGGGATTGTTCTGTAACTGTGGATTGAACTGTTGTATTGATGCAGCAATACCACAAGCTTGCAGTTGAGTCAGATGTGGGCAGATAGTCTGCAGAGCAAAGGCAGGATGGAGCAGTGACAACTTCACCTGCCCTCATTTTTATGTCAACAGGATTAGACA